AAAAAAAAAAAAAAAAAATTATTATATGGTATGTGAAATTAAAGCGAGAGTTACTAAAACCTCCTCCTCATTTTTTCTCCATAAATATCAAAATAATTACGTGGCTTTTGTTTGTCCAACAGCAAGTAACCAGTAAAGAGATGGGGGAGGTTCTCACGGACCCTGATCTATGAGCCGTCACCAGTCTTCCTTTATTTCTGTTGCTGTCTTTTATTAAAAACCCTAAAAGGATGCATCCTTTGCCTTCCACGGGGGAAAGTCGTTAGCGATTTCATTCATTGCGTTAATCGTGTATCAAAAAGATCTTTGTATTATTATATAAATAGGTGAATCTTATTAGAACAATCTGCACGAGAGCGTGACTTTCTGAACCATAGAAATACTTTTAAAATTTTCCAAACCATCTCTCTTTTCTTTCAAAAAAAAAAAAAAACTCTCCCAGTACAGTCATATTCTGATATACTTCACAAATCCCCGAGTGCTAGCTTTTTGCTCGCTTTCCCTCGGAAATAATATTTTAAGAGCTAATTTTATTTTTCAATTTGTAAACAAATGATCAAGCTAATTGCACCGTTGTCCCATTGCAAAAATTCTCACGTTTGTCCCATTGTTGTGTAACCAAACTACAAATTGTGCCTTTTTTAAATCAAATCAAGACCTTTTTTTAGGCAGCACCTGAATTTTTTTTTTTTTTTTAAGAAAGCTACAGAGAGCACACTTCCATAGAAATGTTGGTGATTATGCTGATACAACAATCTTATTTATCAATGCAATATTGGTGATTATGCTGATAAGAGTAAATTTTAGGTAGCACCCTGTCACGATCCTCCTCTATACGATTTTCTACAGAGATTGCTCTGGAGTTTTTTTTTTTTTTTCCTTCTTTCGGGTTTTCGTAAAGTTTTGGTGAGCATGTAGTTGTTGCTTTATGATTTGCTTAATGGCATCTAACATTATACATAATTAAACAAGTATAAATTACAACGCAAAGCAACACTTTTGCAAGTATAACTTCCTCACAAGCATAGCTATACATTTTCTCTGATTAATTCTCCTCTGCTTTGCTAAGCTAAAAGCATCTCCCACATCTCTATTCTACTGAGAGAGAAGTTCCTCTCTCTCAACCTCACACTGTAGAGTTGGTGTATGGCTTTTGCTTACTACTACTAGAGCAAGTGCAGTTGGCTCGCCTATCGGATATAGTCTGAAAAAAAAAAAAAAAAAAAAAAAAAAAAAAAAGTTAAAAAAAAAAAAAAAAAAAAACAGAGAACAATGCATTATGCTATAGATTCTATGATTCACTAAAGTTTCCATACACGTATAGAGATATTAATAGAGCTCCTACTTTGGTGCGTGACGGATGAAATATCCGAAACACTAACATTTGAGATGTCAAATTCTAGAAACAGATGAGTTCTATTTCTAATTAACCAAAAAAAAAAAAAAAACTTTTCATGCATTGTAGACATGAACATAGTCATGAAAATGTATCAGATTCTGAAGAAAATGTTCAAAATTTTCACTTTACCTTGACCTGTTTCTGGAGATCTTTGATGTAGTCCACAGCCAAATCTAGCATATCCGCGGTGTTAGTTTGCTGCATATCGCAAATAGAAATATTAGATCATCTTCGGCCTCTCCTTAAACTTTGCTAATTAATAAAAAAAAAAAAGTTTCCGAAAAGTTGCATAATATTGTTGATAGAAATTTCATCAGATGTCAGGTGGGTAGATACACTCCCTGTATTATAAGAGCAGAGTTACTTATACCCTCTAAAATTATTTTATTAGCACTAATACCCTCTTTAACCTTGGCAATATTATTCCCCTAATATGATGATGATGAATTAACTTTTTACCTTCAGTTTAACTGAAAGAAAGAACTGAATTTTGCCCTCATGCGTAGCACAGGAAAAATATTTAGAAGGTATGGTAACTCTTGCGAGGTCTTTGAATTACCTTATCCATGTTGGGGACAAGCTCCTGTAGCTTCCTCATGCGCTCGCTGATCCTTGTCCTCCTCACCTAAAATAATTAAAATAAAGATGAATAAAAGTATAATTTCCAATTACGACGTACCAAATTTTGAGTCCATTATGTGAAAGTATTTATACGATATTTACCCTTTCGGCAATGCTTCGTGGATGAGTAGCACACCCTCGTTTAGCTCTAATCTTACAAGGAACCGAATCCTGAAACTGCAAGAACTTCTCGATCGCAGACATCTCCGACGAAGTCTTGTGCAAGCCCAACTGATGACTCAGCGTGCCGTTCTGTTCACACGACACGAATCTCACAGAATTCATCTCACAGAATCAAATTCAACACTATGGACTAAGTGTTCATCTTACAATGTCAAAGTTTCGAGTTTTGGTGAACAATGAAGGGTATAATTTTACAATTGCTTGCCCTATAAAACCCGAAGTTTTTAACCAATTTATTTGTAAATCCCCTCACTTCCATAGTCACACTTAAACAGGAAATGGATGGATTCAGAAGTTTGTTATGTAGCAAAATATATAAACTTATACAAAAAATAACTCCCTTTACCAGATAACTATAGCTTTATAGTTTCACCATGTCTCTCTGTATGTTAAACACATTTTTTTTCTTCCTACAAAGTTCATCCTAAAGCTTTGAAGCTTGGTAAAGATTGAGGTTAATAGTTTCATAAACACTTCGCACGGTACTTTTCTGAGATTCGTCTCGTAGGATTTGAATCTGGATTGCTCTGATACTATTTTTGGAAGTAATACGCTTCACTTATTAATGGAAACTTTACTATTGTTATTACTTTTTTTTAAGAGTAGAAATTTTAGTCGGGTGAAAATATACCTCTGTTTGACTGTCTCTGCTCCTCTGCTCCTCCCATGAACCCAGTCCGTAGCCTCCCATGGATTCCTCGTCGATCTCCGATATCTGAGACATCAACCCGGCCGCAGTCGCCGACGATTGCCTCTTCATTCTTGACTCATTCCCATTCCTGTATCCCCCAATCCCTCTCATGACTCCATACCCTACTCCAAAAATAGCAACAACCATCATTTTCCCTTAAAACTTCGACCCAAACCAAACCCCCAAAAAAACATTTTGAATTAGTCCCTCAATTCATAGAAATTGCTATTGAATCCCCTCGTTCTAATGCGTCGCACGGTAGCAATCATTGAGAACTGGGTTGATCTGGGAACGATTTCGGTGATACGAGGGACTAAATCAAAATATTCTAAAAAAAAAGGAAAAAAGAAAACCTAGCCGAAGATCTACCGTTTTCTACGTGGAGCTGATCGAAGAGACCAGCGGGCGAGCTGCTATGCCGAACAAGGTTCGAATAGTTCCCGCCGGCCTCGCCTTCCGGCCGCGGATACGCTCTTGATCCGCCGGCTTCCATCGCCGCCGCGCGCCGCCGCCATCTGACCCTGCTGAATCGGATGGGGTGCTGGTGATGACGAATGGTGTGCTGGTTGGTACATCACCGGCGGCGGCGGTGAGGTGGCTGCTCCGTCGTTCTCCGGCGCCGGATGACGGGGGGATTCTCGGCGAGAGAAAGCGCGCGCGACATTGAGTCCGTGTCGGGGCTCGGAGGGGCGGTTCACGGGAGGAAATCTCGACAGCAACTCCGCGAAAACGGAGCTCGGAGCGGATCGGTAACGGAGCAGGCCCGGACCGAGCTCATCTGGCTCGTCGGTCGGGGGTGGAAACGGACGGTTGAGAATCTGTTGACGTCGCCGGAGAGGAGATCCGTACATTTGAATCTCAACACAAGAGCTCATACGGGTAAGTTTTTACTTTTTATTTTTTTTTTATTTTCTTTATTTTTGGGTTTTTTTTTTTTTTTCCCCACCTATAGAATTTCGCTCCGTGAAGCACCGATGACGAGGAAGTGGGTGCTGTCGGGCGGGGGGTTTTTCTAATTTTAACTGATTTTGATTATTTATTTTAAATGCGGGCACCAGCCATCCAGTATTTATATTATCTGATAGACGATAATGCCCCTATAGACTTTAGATAATAACGGGCTGTGACACCGAACCGTATTGCCGTTTAGAATCCGGGGGGGCTGAAGGAATTACCGAGACTGCCATTTATGCTATTTTCGGGAGGGGCGAGCTTTTTCGCAGTGTTTTTTTCCGTTTGGATTTGATGTGTACAGATAAATTTAGCACGGAACCGAGGTTGGAGCTCGGATCGTGTGTCAAATTAGGCTCAGGTGATTGTGTTCAGGCGGAACGCTATAATGTTGACCTAGATCTTTTTCCCCCCCATCGGAGCGCAAATAAATTAATAACTTATGTGGTATAAATTCCGTAAATAGAAAATTTTATTTATACATCACATAATACTTTCTACTGTCACTTTATGTTGGTACGTGATGCATGTAACTTAGTGAAAAGTTCACAACAGTTTCCTCCATGGGTGTTAGTCAATTGGGATATTTTCGTGCAAAACATGATAATTGTTAAAGTGGAATAATTTTTCGCTGGTGGGATATTTTAGTGGGATAAATAGGAACAATTTTGTGAAGCGGGATATTTTGATAAAATAACGTGGGATAAATTTTTATAATCAGGAAATATATATATTTATGCATTTTGAAGATATAAATACGATCTATGTATTTTTAAACTTACTATTATTGATTGATAACTGCTTACAAGAATGTTTTTTACTATTAAATAACTTTTGGTTAGACTATAAGATATTAAAAATTATTATTAAAATGATGATCTATTGATGGTGATAATCATAATAGGAAAGAAGTAAAGAAAAAAAAAGAAATATAAAAAATAACAAAATAAATATGAGTTCTAGTTTTTTACCACCTAGTTCTAAGCTAAATCTTAGAATAATTTGAGAGACTAGAAGTCTCATTTTTGTATAGAAAAATAAAAAAAAGTGGGATAATTCTGTACCATTATCCCAATTCTAGTTTTGTTAGAGTTCTACTTGACTAACACTGTAAAATTTTATTCTAATTTTAGTTCTATGTGACTCACACCTTAAAAATTTATCCCACATATTATCACAGTTCCAATTTTAAGTTCTAGGTGACTAACCCCAAAGATGGTAAATATTACCAACGGAATGGGAACACCATACCATATAGATGCTACTGCATGAGGGAACCAATTAATGTTGTGATAGGCAAAACTATTATAATTTTTTTCTATATGTGCATCCAACTTTGACTAGATATAAGTTGTATATCTCCTTTGGCAAAAATTATAAGGCAACTCGTTTTGTAAAACAAGCTACCAATCTATACACATTTTTTCCTATTTTATTAGATATAGAACAGATCTTTTTTTTTTTTCCTCTTTTTTTTTTTTGGGAGAAAACGTAGAATAGATTGATAAGCTTGACGAGGTGAATATCACGCAATTAATTACGAAGACTTTAGATTTTATTTTATTTTATTTTATTTCCTTCCTACAACCTACATAATGGCGATAGGCGCCGGTCCAGGCCCTACGTGTCCTATGATATAGAATTTCCATCGTAGTACGTCCTTTGAACAATTCAAGGCACTTAAAATGTCAACCCCTTTTTTAAGCTTTGACTATTAAACCAAAGACTGGTTTACAGTTTTTCTGTAGTACGAGTTCATACTAAGTTAAGTCAAACCCTACCAAAATATCCCAAACGAGGAGCTGGCAGGTTTGACTAAATCCTTCACTCGCAACTTGCAAGCTACTATTTTGTTGATCCAATTACTTGCTAGATGTTCCCATCACCTTCTTCTGACAAATCCTTTGTGCATAAAATTCATGTTTTCTTTCATATGGTTTCTCTGTAGTTTTTATGTGAAGTATGTCGAATGAACTCGGTCGAGCAGACGTCGTGTAGTATCATGCCAATGAAAAGGGATCCACTAGTAATTTTATTCGTTGCGGATAGATCTCCTATAGCTCTACTTGTTTGCTAAAGAAAAGTTTTAGCGCCCAGGTCTACTTGCAACGGGTGTTGTTAGAGTTTTTCTGCTGTAAATAACCCCGATTTGACGAGGAAACTATGGTATGAAAACCCCGGACTTAGCTAAGAGCCATGGGGATTATAAGAAATTAATTCATTATGGCTCTTCAGGAAAGCTAAACTTAAAAGATTTTAGTGTATTAGTTATTATAATTATTATAATAATTAATTCATTACGCTTTTAGGCCTTTTTCCTATTTCTTTCCCCCGCCTTTTCTTCCTCCCGTAAAAACCGACCTTTCTTACCACGTGACACACCGCAGACGTCGGCTGACGGCGAATCAGATGCGCTGACGGCGCACGTGACGCGTTGCCAGCGCTAGCTCCACAAGATCTATCCAATTCCCATTTTACCCCCCAACCCGCGAGCACCGCTAACGGAGTTCGCTCTTTACGTCACGGCCGCCGTCAGTCGCCGGGACCACACCCCGCCGAAAAGCTTAAGATAAATACCCCTTCTTGTTCGGCTGAACTACAACATTACCACTTCTGATTTCTAACGTCAGAGCCGCGATGGGTTTTAATGGAGTGTTTTTGGTTGCACAATTTTATAGAAAAATTTTCTTAAAAGATCTGATAATGGTATTTTATAATTAAAAATTTTTTGTAGATTTTTGTAAACTATGTTTAGTTCGAAAAACAATTACAGAAATATTTTCTGTATAGTACAGAAAAGTATCTCATTTTACAGAAATTAATTTTCTTTCAAAATGGACGGAAATCACTCAGAAATCTGACACCCCAATATTAAAATAATAAATCACATCTCCCGTACCTATTTTCCCACCCGATTCGTTTTCTCACGCTGATAAGAGGGCGGAAATCCTAGGGTTTCGCTGACTTCTTCCCGCCCCCAAATCTAACGAGCCCGAGGTCCTTCGCGCCTTTTATCGCTTCCATCTCGTTCCCTCTCGTTTTCGCTCGGTCATCGCCCCCAAATCCAGTGTTCTCTCCTCCATCACACCTAAATCTAGGGTTTTCTCGATCATCACCCCCAAATTTTGAGTCACCGCCCTCTTCTCTCTCGTGGTTCTCGTGAATCCCGCACTAGGGTTTCTGAACTCAAGGCTCTGAAAGGTAATAGTCCTCTTTTTTCAGCTAATTATTATACAGTCATTAAGCATTTTTTATTAACCGACTAAGAGGGTTCGAAGAAAAAACAAATTATCTAGATGAACTCCTTTACAAATTATCTCAAAGAAAAAACAAATTATCTGGATCGAAGCTAATTTATATACTGTCATTCAACTAATTAATATACAGTCTCTGAAAAGTAATAGTCCTCGTTTACAATTTGGTTATTTTGTCAAAGAAAAAACATTAGTTATGGTATTTTAACATCATCAATGAAGAATGATTAACGGAAGAAGGACTGAGTTATATACAGTATTGAATCATTGGTATTTTAATTTTTGTAGTTGATCTACACAATGATATCTACGGTAGTTATGGTAGTAAAATCAAAATGTCGGGTATATACAAGAGTTTTGTTGATAAGGTAGTTAATCAATTTTTTTGTCGTTCTATATTGTTGCATAAACATCTTAAACTATTTTTGCTTTGTAACGAATGTAGATGGATGGTATAGATGAAGAACAAACAAAGATGATGTGTGCTAATACGACTATATCTTGCAATTCATGTTGCTAGTTGTTTTTGTTGTTGTATTCGTCATAGGTTATATTCATCTTGCTCACCAATTGTTGTTGGCTACTTGTGCTATAAAATGCTCGGTTTGAGCTTAATGATGGATGGCGTATTTTGGTAATCAAGCATGGTATGTGTAGGATCTGAAATAGATACACTAGAACAGTAGAGGGGGTGAATAGTGTTCATTTAAAAATTATGCAAAATAGATTATAAATTGAAAAGAAAGAATGACAACAATCTCAGAAAATCACAATCACAAACAAGAGTTTTTATACTGGTTCCACCAATCTGGTGTACATCCAGTTCACAAGCAAATCCCGCTTGAGATTTTCACTATAATTTTGAATCAAGTACAAAATTAAAACTAAACCTGACCAATTTGTAAGTTCCTGCAAATTGTAACGCCAATTGACAACACTTTGTCCATTGCACACCAATCTCTAAACCAAGAGATTAACCTCTCCCAAACCGAGAGAACTTTCCTTGAATCAAACAACTCAATTCCTATAGGCCTTGATTAGTAGTGTTGTGTATCAGTGGCTTAGGAATAATTTTATCCTCTGGAAATTGCCTAAATAATTTGTATTTTGAATGAGGATAAAAGATAATTTTAGTAAAGATCTTTTTCTCAAAACTTTCTGAAATCTAAAATTTTTGACTTTTGAAAAATGCACAAAGAATGAAGATTATGGGTATATTATCATGTATCATTTTTCTGAACATATAACCTTTATATAGCCCTTGAAAAGACAAATTTTTAAAATTCAA